TAAACGCAACATTAATGTTTAATCTTTGGATCAATGCCATTAACTGCAAGCAGTCATCTTGTTGCAATAATCATATACGAACAATAAGGTAATGTCAAACAGTAACCAATCTTTGGACTGATTTACTATTCACATAAGTTAAATCTATATAATTATCCCATACATATTATCGCAGATGCATATTTCATTCTGTCAATTATCGACTGCCTTTGGGCCGAAGAATAATCACATGAATTAAAATACACATGTAAACGCTTACGCTATCAAGTAAAAAATTTCATATAAGAGAGGTTACTTTGGCAACTTCAAATACTAGATTTTCACCGTCAAAACGCAGCAAACATTATTAATGAGTTTCCAATTCTGAAGGTTGAAATATTTGCAATATAAGCAAAATTAATTTCTGAAGATGCATTCATCAATTTCATAAACAATATATTCCAAAATATTCATGATAAATTAATAAACACACAAACATGAATATGCGTGTATTTAATACATAAATTAATCAATAAAATAAATGAATGAATATATAAATTTCCATGCTATACTTAAATTTTGTATCATGAATCTTTATCTATATATTAGAATATATTTGCCAATAATAAGAGATACAAATAAATTAAAAATAAAATAAAATAAAATATATTGGCACGGAGATCAAATCAACCTATTGTGTATATATATGTATAGATTTCTAATAAAGATTACTAATATGTACACGGATTCCAAGGCATTCAATTATGTACACGGATTCAAATAGAGGAAATAGGTGAATAAATAAACAAATAGATGCCCAGATATGCTTGAAGATTTCACACAAAATCATTCGAATCAATTATTGTCGGACGGCGTCATCGAAAGCAACGAATTATTTCGGGAATTAATTTATTCTGACAGTTTCGAAAATGAAATTCAAGTTTTCCCAAAATCGGAGTTGAATTATTTTGGGGATCAAATGCGATCCGATTAAACATGGATTAATTCAAGAAAACATCCAAATAATTCAACATGCTCTGATACCAATTGTTGAATATTAGATGCCCGATCCTTAAAGCGGAAGCGTACCTAATGAAGTCATATACAAATCTTGGGTGATTAGAGGTTTTGTCTTCCAAGATCAGAGAGCCGGCTTCTACTCTGTCCTTGACGGGTGAGGAGCAGAAACTGCAGGGAGAATCAGATCTTTTTAAGGCGTTCTGATCCTGGGGACCTAACCCTAGCCTATTTATAATAGGGCGAACATAATTGCAATTACAATTATGCCCTTAATTAATATTATTAATTTGTCACGTCACCAAAATAATAATATTATACGGATAGCTGCACTTTCATTCCATAACAATCAAACCTATCAGTCAATAATTAATTATATTAATTAGACCACTTAAATAATAAGAGTGAATAAAATAATGACTTTAACAACATATTCGATACACATATTTGATCTCAAATCCAACATGAGAATTTGATCGTTTTTTCTTTGGCCAACAATATTATTTGCTGTTGATTCCACATAAATTAGCGGGGGAAAGAAATGGGCGAACTAGAGCTCAACTCCATAGAAAGCAAAGCTACCGATGATGTGCGGATACTACATGATCTTGTGCATACTGAGGGATGGGAACTATTAAGTTAACTTTAGGATTTACTCTATGTTCTTGTCGTCCAAATCTTTTTATTATGCAATTTTCACAATTTTCCTAGTTTTCTCTTGACTTTGCAATCACTTTTGGGATTTGAACATGTTCATCGGTTTTAAACAATAACAAGTTTTCTGCATTCATTTTAGTGATGAGTCTTGAAAGATCATATTTAGTGTTTGATTTCTTTGCTTGCGAAAGATTGGTCTAGTTTCTGACAACTTTGTCAAAAGTGATCACAACTAGATTCGGGGTTTCATTTCCATTCACAGTGGGTTTTGGTAGGTTATAAAGATGATGATGTTGAAAAATATCAAAACTTCTTTATAGTTTGAGGCCACGAAAACAGAACGAGGGGGAAGGTTTTAAGGAAACCTTTGTATTGATCCGAGAGGCATATAATATTTTTGAAAATGTTGCCATTGCTAAGTATGAGATTTATTACAACTTCATCGTCCAACTTTGGTTCTGTATATGTTTTCTATAGGAGGGAATTGCTATATCAAAAGAAGATGCTCGACAATTTTTACATATTGTTTCGATATATTCATTAAATTATGTTAAAATAACAAACTATTTCTTTATTTGATAGATGAACTTTAAGGTGTGTTTACTTGTGGAATTTGCTTTTATTTTAATGTTTTAGATCTAGATTGTTTCAAAGGTAAAATAATTTAATATTAAATTAAAGCCACAAGTAAATATTGAGAATTTTGATTTTAAAATCCTATATAAATTCATGTTTAGTTAAAGAAAAATAGAATTTAAAATGATGGGATTTAAAAAATGGTCCAAAATCCTACAAATAAGAAATTTTTTTGTAATGAAATGTCATGTTACTTTTAAATCTCATCCTGACTTTTTAAAGTTTACTTTTATATCCCTTATGAAAAAAATAATATTATATTTATATAAAATAAAAATTAAATAATTTTAAAATTAATTATTATTTCAATTATAAATTAAATTAAATTTATATTATTTTTTATGGTACAATCTTTTTTAAAATAAACTAATAAATTCATTGTTTAAAATTATTATTGATTATAAATTTTATTTGAATTATAAAATTATAGGGATAACAATGAGTCGAGTTCAGCCCGAACTAAAATTCGTCCTGAATATAAATTGTTAGATTCGAGATCCAAATTGGATCCTATACCATATAGATTTGAAAAATCCATTTCTTTTTCATAATTCTTGAATTTTAATTTAAAATTGCACAGGATCCAACATATATTAAAATTTATATTTTTTATTAAAAAAAATATTATAATAAAATAATGAATAAGTTAAACTCAAAAAAAAAATTTAATATAATTATATTATTAGAAATTATTTTTTTATATGTATAGTTGATATATTATTAATAATATATTACCCTGAATATGACCCAGACCCCAGATCTGATACTCTAATAATTTGACTCACCTTCAAATAAATAGATCGTGTCCGATCGGGTCTCGAATTTACGCGAACATATCATACCGGATATTAGAAGTTTAATTTGTCAAAATAAATAAAATCATAGAGGACAATTATGTTATTTAGAATATAAAAATTCAAATCCCAACTCATATGAAAAACAAACAAGATATGAATCACATATAATTTTACCAACCATAGGATTCCAAATTCTAAATATAATAAATATCACATATAAATCCTACTTTCAATCCCACAAAAAAAAGTTCATCACATATAAATCTTACTCTAAAATTCAAATCCCACCAAAAGAAATCCATGAACCAACTAGAGCTATTTGGTTCAAGGATTTAATGGGATTCCATGGAATTTTGATTTTAAAATCTCATAGACTCCATGTTTGGTTAAAAAAAAAAAAAAAAAAAATTAAAATGATGGAATTTAAAAAATGACTAAAATCCTACAAACCGGAGATTTTGTTGTAACAGGTACCCCTTTACTTTTAAATCTTATTTTGAAATTTTAAATTTTATTTTTATATCCCTTATAAAAGAAATAATATTATATTTATATAAAATAAAAATTAAATAATTTAAAAATTAATTATTATTTGAATTATATTTAACTAAATTTATATTATTTTTTATGGTACAATTTTTTTAAAAATATATTAATAAATTTATTGTTTAAAATTATTATTTATTATAAATTTTATGGTACAATATTGGAGAAGAAAAGAGGATTGTGGAAGATCGAGCAGGGATTTGGGGAAGAAGAACGCCTGTGAGGAAGAATTGATTTGAAAAAAAATTATGAAATGGCCCAAATAATTATTTGAGCTCAATTAATTTATTTTTAGTAAATATAGCATAAAATTAATTTATTTACTTAATCTTTTGGTTTGGAATTAGTATTAGATTATTTTAATTAATTTATTTATAAATTTAATTGTTTTGAATTGTATTTAATTTTTATTTAATTTATACAAATTCATATTTATTGTAATTAATATTTTAAAATAACTTATAACTAATTGTAAATTTATTATTTAAAATTATTTTAAACAAGATTTTAAATTTTAATTTACTATAAATTATACATTTATATATTTATTTTTTTAAAGTAGTTTTAAAGGACAAAGACAAAGGGAGTAATATATTTTTTAATATTATATATTTTTAAAATTAATTATATTTATAAGTTAATATATTTTAATAGTTGATTTTTATTTTTTTCAAATAAAAAATTATATATAAAAGTTACATATTTTTGGTCATTGTCCCAAGTTCACTCAAGAAATTCTTCTTGGTTAGGATTCCTCCAAACAAGGGCGTATTTATTTGGATGATTTTGTAAAATTTTTAATATTTATTCAATTTTTTCTCTCAAAAAAATATTAAAGAAATTATAAGGCTTGTTTCTTCAACCCCAAACCTGCAATGTTTACTTCTTCTTTTTTTCTTTTTTTTAAAAAAAATTAAAATATAATTTAATATTTATTATAATACAAATAAATAAAAATTTAAATATATATATTGAGTATAATATAAATTCATAATCAAATCATACCACATAAATTTTATCAATTAAATTTAATACACATTTATATTATTATTCATTATCTATCGAATCAATACACATCAAAGCTCTTCAAACCCCAACCAAATCCAAACACAAAAGAAACAACAAAATTCAAACTCATCTCAAAATTCAAATAAAAACCAAACCCAAACTCAAATTTCCCCAAACCCCCTAAAGAAACACACCTTTATTTACATTGTATCGTACAATTATTCAAATTCAAATTTTTTACTATTCAAATCTCAACTTAAAATTCAAACTCCCAAACAAACACGCCAAATCTTTGTTAGAAACAATTTATCCAGTCATCTTAATAGCTTACATCATTTTTAATAAGTACAAAGGGGCGGGTTAGCTTATTTAAAAAAATAACTTCCAACCAAATATTTCATTTACCTCCAAAATACAGGATTCAACCAAAATCCATTTCTAATTATACACCAACAGATAGGGGAGATAATATTAATCCAACATCATTGTTAGTGTACACACACTAGAATGCAGTAAAGATTGTTCAAGAACTGATCGATTGGGAACATTAAGATCTACAAAATTGCAGGTACCTGATAAAATACTTGATGCATAGCTCATTTAGACTTCTGGGCTTCATCGAGTTTTTTCTTCCTCTCTTTCAATCGGTTAGTCCGAGCTTGTTTCTTCCCTATGCCAATCTGTACAAGGAAACAATATGTGTATATTAAGCAACATGCATTAGCTAAAGCAAGACCCTGTAAATATATATACAACTAAATGCAAGCAACTGCATATGAGCCATTCAATTTTCATACGTGGACTCCTAAATTAGAGCATATTTTTTTAGTCTTTGAGGAAACAAATATCGGTACAATAGTGAATCATGATCAAGATGGAATTTGCTATATAGAAGGTATCAGATGATTGACTATAATCCCATGAAGATATTCGTGCCAATAATATAAATAAATACAGAAAGTATAAGTATTACTTCACATGGCCACAATTGACTCTCAAATTGAAATCCAACATCTAAAGGAAACAAAGAAAAGTCAAAAGTTAGTATTCTTACCTCCATAGCTTCCAGAAGCTTCCTCTTCCTCCGGGGCATTACAACCTTTGCCATATTAGCAGCATCCAAACTTTGTTGCTTTATATCAGGGCCAGCATCTTCTTCATCGTCAATGGCGTTAATGCCACCAACCAAGGCAGGAGTGTTCTGGGAACCTTGTAGTTCTAGTTGAAGCTCACGCTGATAGTGTTCCTCCAACTTTGACATCTAAGTTTATGAAATGTATGAAAACATCATCAATTCAACACAACTTAATAACAGAGCACATTATGCATTGAATGAAGATGATCATCACATCAATATATGAACACATTTTAATTCATAAAAGGTATATTCTGTACCTTTTGTCTTCTTTTTTCAGCTTCGATATCTTCTACACGATCAGCAATACCCAGTAGACTCTGAGGATCATCCAGGTCTTCTTTTCCAGTGCCTGGTAATGGCAAGACTTCTTTCCTAGCAGCAGCCTTCAATCGTTCAATAGCTTCTGCATACTCAGGAACATGACCTTCTGCTTCATTGTCAACGAACGGAGACAGATGTGGAGGACACACACTGCCAAATTAACAATTCCAAAACTAAGTACTGACCCAACAAGTAATTAAAGGAGAACAATTAGAATTGCTAGATGTTGTAACTTACCATCCCACTATATATTTCACAGTAGGCAATATGATGCGTGCATTTACACAATCGTACACCCACTGTGGTTGCACATATTCTCTGGAAAGAAACTTGTGTCCTTGTGTTGGCCTATCAACAATCTGCAGAATATGCATTGCATACATTTAGATGTCTGCATAAAATAAATCAACTCATTGATATCTCAAGGGAACGACTACGGATAGTAAATTTTAGTTTCTAACTATTAGTTAGTCATCCAAACAAACACAGCAGCATAAACATGACTCTTGCATGTGACTGATCAACTCCTCAGGCATGTGCATAAAAAATAAAATAAAAATAAGAATAAACTACTTGCTGCCGTCTTTGTTTTTATCCTGTCCATTTGACTTCAAATCTGAAATATTATACAACTGGCCATGTCCCTTCAATACCAAGATTAAAGACTACATCTAACCATTACTATGGTGCCACCAACCAATAAATGTGATATTGGAAGGATGAAAAGATTATAACCAAAATTTAGGATTTGTTATGTTGTTATTAACTTGTCATTAGGGATGTTATTCTTATTCATCAAACCTAGCTGTGTACATTATTTTCAAACTCAACTCAAGCTCCTATCAAGCCAAGCTCAATCTTGCTAATTTTATGTATGAGCTTTTTAACTCAACATTTATCTATTGCATATCAAAGATATAATAAGAACATAATATAAATATAGTAAAAATATAATTTTATTTCTTATCTAGTATTTCTTCGACCTCAGCTCATTGATATGCTTACGAGCTGAACTTGAGCATTATCGAGCTCAAGATCGCACAACAAACCTGATTTTCATTAACACAAATACAAGAAAAAAATAAAAGAAAATATGGGAACCACACCTGATGTGTAATTCTTTGGTCAGATTCATCAAATGGTGCCCCTTCACCTTCCCAAGAAACTGTGCCACCAAAAGCGGGGATGATGAACAGTAATGATTCTCTAGGAACCTAATAAAGTAGCAAATGGACAAACAAAAACAATATCAGGGGGCAGGCATGCAGGGGAAGAGAGTTAATGAAATGAAATTACAGTGCACGGAAAAGTATAAACCCAATAAGTCCAAGCAAATCACCTCCCGACTCAGGAAAAACTTCATATTCTTGAAGAGGGTTTTACACTCCCGGGTTTCTACATCCTCGTCATCATCATTATGTGCATCCTCAAGAAGGTGCATTAAAGCGCCAGGTTCACTAGGAGGAAGCTCGACAAGTTCATCCTCCTCCTGTTGTTGGTCAGTTTGCATGGATTCAGGTGATGTAATGGCTTTTCTATTTGAAGAGGAGGCTTGAGCACCAGCATTAAGGTATCTCGACAAGGCATAAAGATCTGTATAGTTACAAAAACAGCGACAATGGCCAAATTTCTTACATTCGATTGACATATTGCTTTAGGGACTTGGAATTCCATAGCATACCACACAAACTAAAGATAAAAAACACACCTGCAGCCATAGCTTCCAATCGAGGATCAAGAATGGGTGGATATTTCACATTTATTGACTGATAAAGTCTGTAATTAACAAAACCAAGGAGGGTCTGCCAACAAAAAGGAACAAAGCAAACACGCCATAAAAAGAATTAGCACAAACTAATCACAGATCACAGATCAAATGACTTCTAAAATTTTAAAAGAGGAAGGCTAAACACATATAGCTCTGGTTACAAGGATGACATTGAAAACATATAGAGACAAATCTTTGGAGTCCAAGAACAATCCAATATACCAAATCTTTTCTTAAAATTTTGACAGAATGTTTCATGATTTAGGTTGGTCATTGGTGTACAAATACTTATGGTTTTCATTACATTGTTTCACATTGGGAACACCCAGTAAGTTTTGTAGTTCTAGTTCAGCTTAAAGAGGCAGAATATATTTACTTTCAAACCAAAGTTAACCTCAGTTTGCAAGCACATGAAAAATATAAAATTAAGAACTAAAACACAATGAAAAGAGAAAAAAAAAAATGAACTTACCTCGTAAAATTCCAAAAACGTGAGCAGGATTCTATAATCAACTTCTGGAAGTACTTGCTGCAATGCATGTGGGGTTAACCAAGTAATCGTCTGGCCTTCAACCTCTGCCTGCAAAGGGAACCAAACCCAATGTGAATGCATGTAGCTCACAACACAACCAATGAAGCTACATAAAATTATGTTATACATACTTGGTAATATATTCCTTTTACAGAAATGAATGTCTTCCTTAATTTATGGGTTCGTGAAATATAGGCCTGCCACTCATGACTCAACCTAGAAGCATCATAAATTCATCAAAGCAATGTAAGTTACAAAGAATCATAGTATAAATATACTCAACAATAAAGATGAAAAGCAACGCCAACCTTCGACAACAGTGAACTCGCTCCACAGGTATCTTTTCTCCGGATTCAGGATTATCCATAGCAGGCAATGCAGCAAACAGATGCACCATATTCAGACAGTCATCTAGATCCCTCAAAGCATCAACAAATTTAGGATACCTAAAACCAACGAAGTTAAAAATAAGCAAACAGCACACATGACCCTTAAAAACACATAATACCAACAAAATAAATTACTATAATAGTAGCTGAGTAATTGAATTCTACCTCTCTTTAACAAGCCTATCAAGCTTGTAAGCTGGCTTCCGAGTTAATAACCTCTCTACCAAATCCTTATTTTTCTTGGACTTGGCTTTTTTCACCTTCTTCTCATAGACCCGAATTTCCCTGGATGTTTCCAACAGGGGCTCGTGTTTGAGAAACATTAAGTCTTTCGTGTGGTAGTAAGAATGATGATTTCCTCGCACCTTCTTCCTCGGAACCCGAGGAAAAACACCTTTGTGGATGCATAGCTTCCTGAAACATAGAAAACACAAATAACTTAGTCTCAGATGCCTTTAAGAAAATACACAATTATCATTGCCCCGAAATCATCATATGCATGCTTCCTGAAAGACACAAAAACCACATGATTTCTTAGTTTCAAGTCGTAAGAAAATCCTAGTTTTATTTTCCCAAAACCGTTGGTTTCATAGCTTCCCGATATACACAACCAACGTGACCTTATATTCTAAATACCTTAAGAAAACCACAATTCTCAATGCCATAAAATCGCCGATGTTTTTGGAAAGTTACACCAAAGTCAAACCAAATCACTAATATTTCTGGAATCTCAAATACGCGGCTTAGCACTCTATGATCATTAACACGAATATTGAATCACATCGATAACACCACTGCGTCACAGCCAACGAGTGTTCTTCAAAATATGATGTCCGTAAGATAATCTCGATATCTAGTAGCGATGAATGTTCGAGACGTTTTGCTTTCTAAATTAAAATTTATGGAATCAATCATAAACACTGCTCGAATTAACTTAACAATCAAGGAAAACATAATATGAACCTGAAAACCGGAAGGCTGACTTGAAGAGATCTTAGTGCTTGTGACCTCGTCAGGTATTTCGCGGCGTTTCCTTCTTTTTTCTTCCCCTGCAAAATACATTAGGAAACAATTGAGCATAGAACATACTAATGCACCAAATCCCTGTTCGTTGAAGGAGAACTCACGGCTGGCCTGTAGTGCTTCGGCATGACGATGGCGACGGCGACGAGAGAGAGAGAGAGAGGATGAGCAGCACACAACACAGAGGGTTGTCTTAGGGTTTAGATGAATGCAAGAAGCTAATAATCCTCTCCAGATTTGTTATCTCAGGAGTAATGGTCTCTTATTGGCCGTTATGGAGTCGTATTGGAGTTTACCTAATGGGCTGGGCTTTGGTCGAAATTGATGCTACTAAAGAAAAGTCCACAAATACGACCCAACAATCCATTTATTTATTTTAAAAAATAAAAAATATAGACTCAAAAGCTATCTTTACTTTACTATTTTATATCAATCAGTTAATACTTTTTTCGTAATACACTCAGGGTTGTTTGGTTCATGGATTTTTTTTATGGGATTTAGATTTTACAGTAGAATTTAATATGTGATGGGATTTATTATATTTAGGATTTGGAATCCCATATTATGTTTGGTTGGTAAAATGTGGTGGGATTTATATTTCGTGGATTTGGATTTTTTATATTCTAAATGATATAATTGTCCTCTTATGAATTTTATTTATTTTGACAAATTAAACCTCTAATTCATTGTTAATATAAATTGAATTATAGGATGACAATAGATTCGCATAAACTTGAGACCCGACCGAGCCCGACCTATTTATTTGAAGTTAAGTCCAATTATTTGAGTATTAGGTCTGAATCCGGATCATGATCAGGGTAATATAATAATAATATATCAACCATACATGTCAAAAAATAATTTCGAATAATATAATTATATTAAAAATATTTTTTGAGTTTAAAGTATTCATTATTTTATTATAATATTTTTCTAATAAAATACATAAATTTTAATATACATTGGATCCGGTACATATGTAATTTTAAATTAAAATTTAAGAATGGTAAAAAAAAAATGGATTTTTCGGATCCATCAAGTCATACCGGGTATAGTTTCGGTCGGATCTAGTATAATCGGATCCAATTTGAATCTCGGATTTAACAATATATATTTGGGATGAATATCAGTTCCGACTGAACCCGACTTATGGTGGTCCCTATAATTTTATAATTCAAATAAAATTTATAATAAATAATAATTTAAACAATGAATTTATTAATTTATTTAAAAAATATTGTACAATAAAAAATAATATAAATTTTTAATTAAGTATATAATTTAAATAATAATTAATGTTAAAATTATTTAATTTTTTATATAAATATAATACTATTAATTTTTTTTATAAGATGATATAAATGTACAAATTAAAATTTCAAGAATGAGATTTAAAAGTAAAAGGTATCCCATTACCAAAAAAAAATCTCTTATTTGTAGAATTTTAGACTCCTTTTTCAAATCTCATCATTTTAAGTTCCACCATTTTTTACTTAACCAAACATGGATTTTATAGGATTTTAAAATCCAAATCCCATGAAATTTCATCAAATCCTTAACCAAACAGCCCCTCAGCGTCTATCTTTTATAGGATTAGATTCTACATTATGATTTATATTTGTTTACTGCATTTAGGATTAAGAATATTATCAGGATTTATATTTCTCAAATTGAAACAGATTAATTGAAATATTTGAATTGTTTTATATTTTAAATGACATAATATCTAATATTCAAATCATATCAACAATGCAATTTTAAAGTAATAGCGTTTAACTAAATATAAATTTATTAGGATTTTAAAATTCAAAAATCATAAAATCTTTTTACATTTATGAATTAAACCGTCTTTCACTGTACTTTATATTTATCACACTTTAATAATAAAATATTATTAGTTTTTAATCTTTGTTTCAACCCAACCTGTAGAATTTTTATGAATGTATGTTTTTGTGTCTCAGTATCTTATTTGGCATTCTTTGTCATTTCATGGTTACTTAATTAAAATGTATAGAAATATATTTGGTTTTTTTTTTCTTTTTATCTGCATTAGTACTTGGTAGTGCAAATTGTCAAGTATTATCAAGTTAGCATATGATGGCAATAATTCAATTATAGAGAATTTTTTCAATACTTATGAATTAGATGTAAAACTATTTTTATGAAAGATTAAAATGATAGAAAGAATTTATAAGTCACCTATACTAAGCATACTATTAGTACATGTTTAAATATGAATTTGCAAACTAATTACAACTATCCAAATTTATACTCCCTCCATCCCATGTAATATGGGTGTATTACTGTGGATACGGAAATTTAGGTAAAGTATAATTAGTAAGTAATTAAGAAGTGTATTAATTCAGTAAAAATAATTATAGATTAAGATTAAGATAAGTAAATAGTTTAATTAAAATTAAGAAAATTATAAAATTTAAAATACGATTAAAGTGCATAATTATATTTCAAAAAATGAAAAGAACAAGTTATGTGGGACGGACGGAAATAAAAAATATAGGCAAATTATGTGGGACGGAGGGAGTAAAATTTAAACACAATTCAAACATAGACATATGTAGGTTTTTAGTTTCTATATTGATAAAATTAAATTCTAATGAAATTTTCTCTAATTTAACACGATACTTTGCAATAATATCCCGTATAAAATAGAATATAATATCTATGTGTTTAGTTATCATGAGAAATAGAACTTTTACAAAATATCTAACTAGTTGTCTAAATATTATCACTATCAAAAAAATCAATTTAAAAAAACAGTTGTATTGTTTTTGAAAAAATAACCCATACATTTCCCTAATAAATTAATGCATCACATTCATTCACTATTTTTATATTATGTACACAATTTTGTATATATCACATAACAAAAAATTCATTCAAACTGTTTAAGAAAACAAGCACGCATATTTCAACTCAAGCATCTCTTTCCGCTTGCTAAAAAGGGCAATGTATTCCAAATTTGTAATAAAAAATGCAACTAAGGATGATATACTCAATTAAGATTTTATTAGTTTTTTTATATGTCAAGTCTTACACTACGAGGATCGACGTCCTCAAGATGTCATTGGGATATCAACAACCAAAGTGTCAACAATTCGATGGCAAGGGGAACCCAAAGCAGCATGTGGCACACTTTGTTGAAACATGCAACAACATTGGGATATATAGAGACCTCGTGGTAAAGCAGTTCGTACGATTATTTAAAGGCAACACCTTCGACCGGTACATCGACTTGGAGGTTGGTTCCATTGACAGTTGGGAGCAACTAGAGTACGAGTTCTTGAACCGGTTCTACAGCACAAAAAAGAACTGTCAGCATGACAGAGCTCACCAATACTCGTCAATGGAAGGTAATCCAGCAATGGACTATATCAACCGCTGGAGAAGTCTAAGCCTCAATTGCAAAGACCGATTTTCTAAAGCTTTCGGAATAGAAATGTACATCTAAAGAATGCACTATGGGTCAAAATACATCCTGCAAGGGATCCGACCATGCACTTTTGAAGACTTGTTACCGGCTCACATGACATGAAATTAAGTATGGCTTCAAGTGGGATGCGCAGACTATCCATTCAAAAATCTTCAAAAGCAAAATGATACGAAAGATATAACGCTGCAAAGAAATGGAACAACGCCCGTGTCAAGTCCTTTAAAAAAGAAGCTTTAACCATGAAAGCTACAACTAAGGCACCCATAAAAATCCAAAATAAAGAAAAGAGGGATGTAAGGAAAAAAAAGTCAACTCAGATAGACAGGCCTCCAAAGCCAACCCTTAATGAGTTGCAATTCAAAAGTTATCTTTTTTTGGATTCTGACGTCTCGGGCATCTTTGAAGACCTACTCAAAGAAAACCTTATCGAACTTCCAAATTAAAAAAAAAAAATGGAAGGAAGAGAAAGGTTAATGACCCGAGATATTGCAAATACCATTGTGTAATAGGGCATATCATCCATGATTGTTTCATCTTTAAATACAAAGTCATGGAGCTGGTATCGTGAAGGGAAGATCACCCTTAAGGATGATTTTTCTGATGTTAGTTTCACTTCAATCATGTTCGAGTCTCTCAAAGTTGACATAAAATATGAAGAGTCATATTGTCTCACTATCGAGAAGGATGAATAATCCACAAAGGCAATCAAACACGAATCGGGTGAAGAATGTGCCACGATAACCTTCACTAATAAAGATTTGATGTTAGGATCTAAACCCCATAACCAACCATTATTGGTCGTGGGTTATATCCATAAGCAAATAATTAGTCGAATATTCATAGATGAAGGAGCCGCAATCAACGTCATTCCTCTATATACATTACAAAAATTGAGAATACTGATTGATCAACTGCTCAATAGTTGTACAATGATACACGGATACAATCAAGAGGGGCAAAGAGCACTTGGCACTATAAGACTGAAGTTATTGATCAATGAAATGGAAACCAACCCTATGTTTTACGTTATAGATGCAAATACATCTTTCAATGTTCATTTTGGAGGACCATGGATACACGAGAATGGCGTAGTCCCTTCGACATGGCATCAATGCTTCAAATATACTAAAAATATGGTGACATAAAAATATTTTGGCGACATAAAACCATAAACTGAAACCGAGTCACACTTTATGGATGCAAAATAATTCACAGAAAAAACAAAAGCACAAAAAATAAATGAAGACATTAAAGCGCCCCAACCAAACTTGGGGGTAAAGTCGAGAGATAAAGGAAAAACACATGCCTCAGTTTCTTCCGACTTATTAATTCGGCCTCTAAAAGATCTGACTCTCCCAATTACACCGATAATCTGGTCTCTTCATCACAAGTAAAGAATTTAAGAGAAGAGAGAATGAAGGTCATACAATTGCAAAAGGATGAAAGCTTTGACCCAAAAGCCTACAAATTTTTCAAAAAAGTTGGATATAACCCAAACAAGGAGTCACGGCTTAGAGAATTACCACAATAGAAAACCTAAAGTTCGAGGGTTGGTCTTGGATATATACCACAGTCTGTAGTGCGCATCGTTATCAAAAGAGCCGAACATCATCATATTACCGAAAGTGAAGGCTCGTCTTCCAATTCACCTCAAAAGAGTGAGAATACAAGAGTTTCAGGCTTCAAGAGACTAAGACATTCTGTTTTCACGAGGTTAAGGACAAAGATTAATAAAGAGCATGATAAGACAAATTCTAAATTAACAAAATATATAGACATTGATGAAGAAG